GAGCTTCTTCCCATTTTAACACAAGTTAGGGTTCCTGATAAGCCTTATTCTACTCACCGTTTACTCATCGGCACTCACACGTCGAGCGATGCGCAAAACTACTTGCAAATTGCCCATGTACAGCTTCCTAATCCTACTGCGCCCAACCCAGATGACTACGATGAGGATCGGGGCGAGATCGGCGGGTACGGCGGCAGCTCCAAGAAAGCGCCCATGGAGATCAAATTCAATATCGTGCAGAAGATTGACCACAAGGGTGAAGTCAACAAAGCTCGCTACCAACCGCAGAATCCCAACATCATTGCAACAATGTGTACGGACGGACGGGTGATGATCTGGGATCGCTCGAAGCACCCTAGTCTGCCCACCGGAACGGTTAACCCTCAGATGGAGCTGCTAGGCCATACGCGAGAAGGTTTCGGACTTAGCTGGAGCCCCCATACTGCCGGTCACCTTGTCACTGGTAGTGAGGACAAGACTGTTCGTCTTTGGTAAGACCGACACTCTCACTGACTCCCAATTAGTGTTCGGCTACTAATCACGGTGTCAGGGATCTGACGACATACACTAAGGGCAACAAGGCTCTAAAGCCGGTGCGGACCTATACGCACCACTCTTCGATTGTCAATGACGTGCAATATCACCCTCTGCACTCTTCCCTGATCGGAACGGTCTCCGACGATATCACCCTCCAAATCATCGATATTCGTGAAGCCGAGACGAACCGCGCGGCCGCTTCCGCAGAGGGTCAGCACCGTGATGCCATTAACGCTATTGCATTCAATCCTGCTGCCGAGACCGTCCTGGCGACTGGATCGGCTGATAAGTCTATCGGACTGTGGGATCTGCGTAACTTGAAAACCAAGTTGCACGCCCTGGAATGCCACAATGACTCTGTGACCTCCCTCTCTTGGCACCCCTTCGAAGAATCCGTCCTGGCCAGTGCAAGCTATGACCGTAAGATCATGTTCTGGGATCTCAGCCGGGCTGGAGAGGAGCAGACCCCTGAAGATGCACAGGATGGACCGCCAGAGCTGTAAGTTTAATGTTGCCCAGACACGGGATGAAATACTCCTGCTAACCAGATACGCTTCAGTCTCTTTATGCACGGTGGCCACACCAACCGCATTTCCGATTTCAGCTGGAACCTCAACGATCCTTGGGTTCTCTGCTCTGCTGCGGAGGACAATCTTCTGCAAGTGTGGAAGGTGGCCGATGCGATTGTGGGCAAGGATCTTGAGGACGTGCCAACTGAAGAACTGGAGCCATGAGTTTGGCTTCACTTACAAGAAAACCCGGAAGCCTACATTATTGATACCTACCTGAAGCGGTTGTCTTGCTTCTTGTATTGCTACACGCGTCTCACGGATACAGTCAAGCGGAGTTTCAAACCGGGGAGCGCCCTTGTAGTAGATGACCCTGTCGCTGGTGTGCCTCAACAATATTCTGATGCCTTATGTAACAATGACAGACTATTGCATGAAAAAAACATCTTGGGCATGTTCAAAATTAAAATCCGATGACAGAGTGTAGAGGGAAGCATCCCAGTTTGCATTAACAGTCCACTAGGGGAGACAATGCTGGCTTCTATAAACCACCGCTTAAACCCTATGCCATTAATGGCAATGCATGTAATCTCTCCGTGTTATCCTCACGATAAGTATCCCGACGGCATTCCGACCGTTAGCACCGATAAGCCAGGGCAGGTTGTGCGCAGCAGCGTTATGGGTGCTAATAATGCGCCGAAGATGCTGGTGCAGATCATGCGGGGTAGGGGGCGTGCAGCTGCCAAGCAATTGTCGGCGGGCCACCCTCTTGAGATCTAGGTACTTTTGATGAGGAGATATTGCTTCAAGTTGTATCGATATAGATTTTCTTGTCTTGTCCGGTAGAAAGTCCTCTTAACTGCGGATCTCACCTGTTTAATATCAGGAAAGTACTAGGTAGTCTTGTCGCAGTCCGGAGTTCGGGGCATCGGAGAATGGTGAATGGTGAAATCAGTCTGGAATGAGCTAATCAACACTAGCGGCGAGTCCCCTCGTGTCAGCCCGTGCATTGAGCTGATTGATTGGTCAGTAGTACGGGCGGTGAGGGCGGACACCTGAGATCGGAGAGGGGCCATTTCGCTCCGAAAAGGTAACGCCGTTCAGCGCGGCGAGCCTTAATTTTTTCCTTTTCTCATCCTTCATCGGAGGGAAAAAAAAGACAAGAAGTTCATTAATTGTCAGTTTGTCTTGCTGTGTGTTGAAATCGGTGAACTTTGCTTGCGCTCTTCATCACCATTGATCAGGGACGTGTTGCCCACAGCTAAGCTCCTCCACACATATACCTCCATTACCCCCTCATACATCCCACTCCCACCACTTCTCCCCTCCCTCTTGTTTGAGTCATGGCCTCCGGAACCTCCCCTCCCCACGGCCCCAAGCCCAAGTCCGCCATTCCCTCCCATATGCTGAATGGCGGTTCTCCCCTTCATCTGTCTCTGGGCTCCCGGGATGCTCGTGAGCGCGAAAGTCTCAACTCCTCCATTCGTTCGTCCTTCACTCCCCGCGTTCCTGTGGAATTCGCCGATTTGCCTGAAAACATCCACCCTGTCGGAGATTCCAGTCAGTACCAGGACGATACTCCCTCCGGTTCTGTCGTCGCCAGGTAGGCCATATATCTATCTGTTTGCAGCCGTTCACTTGCTGATAGCTCGCAGGCCTACCCTGAGGGATCCTGCTCGTGATGCCAGGGATGAGGCTGGTGCCTTGACCCCGCCTGCCAATGAAAGCCGACCAGCCAGCCCTTACACCCTTTTCCCTCCCATCGACTTTGATGGATTGAGCTGGCCTTGTGAGTATTGATGTATCCATCAGGGAGGAGTCTTTCTAATCCACTTCTCCTATAGGCCCCGGTACCCGGGCGCGCCTGGAGTCAACCCCCGAGGAGAACGAAGAGCGCATCAAGAAGCTGGCCGGTGCTGTGAGAACTATTCTGGAATGCGTCGGAGAGGACCCGGAGAGAGAAGGACTGCGGGAGACGCCCGAGAGATACGCCAAGGCTATGCTTTACTTTACAAAGGGATACGAGGAGAACGTTCGGGATCTCGTCAATGGTGCAGTTTTCCATGAGGATCACGATGAGCTGGTTATCGTCAAGGATATCGAGGTGTTCTCGCTGTGCGAGCACCACATGGTTCCCTTCATGGGCAAGGTATGATGATCGACCACCAAAGTGTACAAGGGTCGAAATGCTGACTAGGATCCCGAACAGATGCACATTGGCTACATCCCCGACCGTCGCGTGCTTGGTCTCTCTAAGCTGGCTCGTCTGGCAGAGATGTTCTCCCGTCGTCTACAAGTGCAAGAACGTCTGACCAAACAGGTTGCTTTGGCCATCTCCGAGGTCCTCAAGCCCCGCGGTGTTGGAGTCGTCATGGAATCCGCCCATCTATGCATGGTCATGCGTGGCGTGCAGAAGACTAGCAGCACCACGACCACTAGCTGCATGCTCGGCTGCATGCGTTCCAGCGCCAAGACTCGCGAGGAGTTCCTCAACCTCTTGAACCGAAGATAATGTCTCTTATGCCCTCTCAGCTTTCCTTTACGACGCACTTGTTACCCCTCTCGTTTTAACACTGGATGGTTTCATGATTTTAGGAGTTATGGCGGTTTATACCTTTCAACAGGTCATTCATTGGGTTTCCGTGTTGGCATTCTTTCTTTTGGTGATTGTGGCACGGAAGAGTCGCATGTTGCCTTTCACTTTTGCATAGATTCTTGGGATCGTCACGAAGACTGACCAGGAAGAAGCCACATTTCTCCTAACGCTCTTGTCATCGCTTCTGGGGATTTGTGCAAAACATTCGATAAACAAACAACAAGATTACACGCTGCTCCCTCAACATTCTGCAGCGCGGAGAACCTCGTGGGGGTGTAATTTGGATGATTCAACATATTTTACTAATATCTTCTCAACCTGATATCAGGACATTACGGTACGGCTGGGGTAGTCAATTTGGAGAACGGCGAACGAACGATCGAAAATCTTCATGTACATTGGAAGTCGAATGCATCTGAGCAAATGTATTTATTTTGAAATGGTTGATTTGGATAGTGCCTTCTGGCTACTTTATGAACAGGACATCTTCTGAACTTCTTCCAGGTATTAGGTGACATCACACTGGCCTCAAAAACACCCTTAGCTTGACTTCAAGGCTTTTGTCTTCTCTGTGGACATGCTCGGGTCTGCAGACGTAGTTCCTTTCTATTGTTCTTCTTCCTTGCAAATACTAGATTCTGTCCGATCCTGTGAGAAAATCTGATGGTCAAGTCCCCTGCTCAGCTTGTTCTTGGTGCTCGAACATCGGCGCAAGTACCTATAGAGTTCGACATTTACAACACATACCTCCGCAGTATCCGTGTGTCCTTGTTTAGGACAATCGGTAGAAGTAACACACAGTTTCTATATCTAATCAAGATCCGAGATCCGAACTATAGCGATACTGAATGATTGGGAAGATTGAAACTGAAGAAAACCATCATGAATGCTCCGTGTTATATGGAGCAACCTCATCAGTGAACGAACATGCCTGATTGGCGTGGCTTTGCCTACATTCGGACTCACTCTGGGTCTCGCAGTGAATGATCGATTGTAGTGAATTTTGCATCAGCAGGCTGGCCTGGGTGGGGTATATCAGTTGCCATGGTGTTCGTTTCTTCTCCATCTCTCACCATCCATGAACAACTCATCTTCCTCATCCTCCTTTCTATCCATTATTTCTGCGATTATCATCCAAGCAAGTGTGAAAAGCCTCAACGCACATCTGTCTTTATCCTCCGGCTGCTTGATAGAATCCTCCATCTGTTCTGACTCGATTTGAAGCGAGGTAAGTCTCTTGTTGAGTGAGAATCATATCCTTCTAATGTTGGCCTAATACTGACTTTGTTTACCAGTAGACATAAGACGTTCTACGGCCTTCCTGCCGACAGCACCAGAGAGAGAACCTCGCTGTCATCATGGCAAGGTCGTATACCCCCGACGAGCTGGCAGCCGCCGAAGGCTTGCTTCTTCTGTGGGCGAGCCGAAGCGTCACAGTTACCCCACGCGACGTCCAGGGAGCTGTGAGCAATAATCCCGGGGTAGATAGCCATGAAGATACCGAGCACAGTCATCAGCATGACGATATGCAGACCTCCCGCAGCCACGATGTGGATATGCTGCCACCCTCTCCCCCCCCAGAGTCGGCCTCGTCCTCCTGTGAGCGCTGCTCAAAGACTCGAGCCAATCGGTACCTCTAATAATCGAGTAATCAACCCTCCTATTCCAGTGGTCTTGTTTCATCAACAGCCTCATCTAAACACAGCTCGTACTGCCACGCAGAACAGCATTCCTGGGCTGCGAGCAAACATCCCCCCGTTCCACGAAGAGGGCTCTCCGCAGTATGCTCACGACCAGGAACAGCGTCAGATTACGCGCTTGATGATTCTGCGTCATGTTATGAACAACAGACCCCCTGGTAGAGCTGAGATTGCGCGGCAGAACATCATGCAGCGCTTCCCACCGCGTGGCAGCCGCCTGGATCGCGAGCAGACATCACGGCTCGGTAGAATCCCAGGTGCTGCTCGAGACGGCGCGAATCGCTTGCCTCCACGCTTCTTGCCTGCGAGAAACCCCAGACCCGCTGACTCGCGCCCTGTAGCGTCGGGCGGCCGCAATCCGGGACACAATGGATCAGCTCAACATGACGTGCAGACCAACACCGCCCCTCATGATGCCTCAGGTCGAACCGTCAATTCAACCACCGATGTCAACGGCTCAGCTGCAGTCACTTCTCATCGGGAGCAAAGCACCGCCGACTCCCAGCCGGGTATGTCGCTGCAAAAGTATCTGATCCGGCAGCAGATGATCGCGGGCGTACAGCCAGAGGAGATCGCACCCATCCGTCCTCAGGCGATGGTGAACAACCCTTCAGCTCCTGTGGTATTGCAGATCAGAAACGACGCTGTTGCCGTGCCTAGAATCCCACCTGCGCAGTTCAGCGGACCACTTCAGCCTCTTCGGATCGTGCCACGCGGAGGTTCTGGATCTGTCAATGGGCCGGTGACCAGGGACACTGCACTACACAGTCATCCTCTGAACCAGGGCCCCGAGCCTAAGTCTGATAACGACAAGTCTGCGGCTGCCAACAATGAACCTCAACCCCTACCTCTACCTCAGACCCCGCAGCGTCCAGCAGGTTCTCGCTATCTCACGCGCTCTGTCACACGGCGTACCCGGGATCAGAACAGCCTGGACACCTCTACGCCTGGGCCTCAAGCACCAGCATCAGCGGTGGTCAAATCCGAAGGCGACACCAACCCAGCCGCTCATCCACCCCGTCTCGAGCCCAACATATCAGCCCCAGATAGCAACAACACCAACAAGACCAACCTCCTCTGGGCCCAAGAACAAACCACAGAGGAAGCGCCCCGCCACCCCTCCGCCCTCACCATCACCATCCCGCACAACAACTTCGACCTCCTAGCCGCTCTCTCCGCCCACCCCGAACTCACCGTAATGATCACCGACCTCCTGCACCCAGAGGACATCCTAACCCTCCTCACCACCTCGCGCCCCCTCCACCAAACCCTCCACCACAACCTCCCCACAATCACAACCCACCACCTCCACCACCTCAACACCACCACCCACCCACCAAACATATCAGACACCTTCCCCCTCATCTGCTACCCACGCCTCTACACCCAACCCTCCACCCCCAAAATAACCTACCTCCTAATGCTCACCTCCCGCACCACCACCATCAACCGCATCGTCACCACCCTCCAGGTAGCCAACATCTTCCTCCCCGCCGGCACGGCCCTCGTCCTCCGCAAGATCTGGTTCCTGATGGACGTCCCCGACAACCACCGGAGGGAGTGGACGGTCCGCAACCGCAATCTGTGGTCGGATCTGGATCTGTTCCTGGGCGTGTTCCTCATGGTCCAGGTCGATGCGTTTCTGGCTGAGGTGAAGGGCGTGAAACGGTCTACGGTTATGCGGCAGTTGTGTTTTGCGCAGCGCTCATTGGTGGGGTTGGCGGATTATCTTTGGGGAAAGGTTTGGGGGGATGAGATGGGGGCGGAGGTTGAAAGGGCGTTGGGGAGGTGGAAGGGGATTAGGGCGGGTTCTGGTGGTGGTGGTGGCGGTGATGGTTCTACTGTTGCTGCTGCTGCTGCTCCTGCTGCTACTGCTAAAGAAGAGGGAGATGGAGCTGTCGTTGATGGAGTCACTGGACCTGCAATCCCCAGCGATCCTGAACCCACCAGACCCACCAACGCAAACACCACCGCAGCCACCGCAGCCACCACCTCGAACCCAACCGAAGAAGAACCCGTCGCCCTGCAGTACGAATACTACGGAAGGAAGAACACCTCCAACAAAATCAAACTGCTGCGCCCCGACGAGTGGATCATGCGCGAGATCCTGCACCGCGGCTTGGATCTGCAGAAGATGTACAAGCTCGTGTTCGGCGAAGGCAGGCGCGAGCAGTTCGAGACCCCCGGTGTCGCGGGCCAGAGGGTCACTTGGGATGAGCAGATGCGGATGGCGACGCTCAGGAGCCAGGTGGATTGGATGGAGGTTGTGAGGTTGGATCTTTGATAAGTCTGGCGATGATATGATTCTCGAGGGGGGGGACTCTTTGTTTTTGTTTTCGATAATGGTGATTTTTTTTTATAATGAGGCTCTTTGTTTTTCCTTCTCGATAAGGGGTTTCTGGTGTGGATGGGTGGTGGGTTTGATTTGGTGAAAAGGATTTATAAGATGGATGTTAAGGAGGAAATGGAGTTACAAGATGGTGGAGAAATGAATGGGGAAATGCATGGTGGAAATGATCTATGAACTGGGTGTTGGATGAGGATATGCATGATGAAACGCATGGCACATCTACTGATGCGGTGACACTTCAACAAGCTGGGACTGTACATCTGTTCATAAGAGATTTCAACAGAATCTGAAATGGAAACGATCTGATACTTTGATATTCTTTGCCCACTGAGGACCATCTCAAAAAGTAGGCCTGCAAATCACACCAAAAGTCTAAACACTAGTATACATGGACAGAAGAGTTATAGTACACGACGAGGCAGACCTCCAGGCTTAGTACAGGGTACCGCACTCCCAGTTCTGGGCCTTGTCGACATCGCCCTGGCCCTTGTACTTGGCCAGGCTGGGCCACGGGCAGATCGGGCGCTGCTTGTCGACACCATCGGCAACAACGTCGTTCTTGTACTTGGTGGGGATCAGGTAGTCGGGGGCGTTGTCGTTCTCCACCCAGTCCACCATGGCGAGGATGAGATCGTGCTTGCTGTCGTTGAAGCCGGGCACACCGAAGATGGTGCCGGACAGAGAGCCAGCCTGGCTGTCTCCGTTCATGTAGTAGGGGGCGTCTTGGTCGCTGGGGGTGCTGGTGCAGTGCTCCATGCCGGGGACGAAGAACAAACGGTAGAAGTCATCGACGGGAATGCCCTGGGGCCGGAGAGCCTCCTGGTAATGGTTGTAGAGGTACAGGGAGGACTTGGATGCGATCGATGGGTCGGAGTAGCCGTGGTAGTGGAGGAGCTTGCCACCCTTCTTGTAGAAAGGAGAAATGTCGAAGTCGTCGGCGGTGGCATTGCCCGGGTTCAGCTTCTCGGAGAGAGCGACGAGATCGGGGTTCCAGTCTTCCCAGGTCCAGTCTCCGCCGATCTGGAGCATGTACTGGATGTAGGTGACGAAGTCGTCGTCCAGAGTAGGGGCGCCAACCTCGGTACCCAGCGTGTATCCAGGGAAGATGAAGGTGTCGTTGGCTTCGACCCAGGGGTTGAACAGCTTGTTGACGGTGGTGAGTTGGGCGGGCGTCACGCAAGTGTCATTGGACGAGGTGGCATTGCACATCACCGGGACAGGATCGAAGACACAGCCGAAGGGGTTCTGGAGGATGCTGTCGTTCAGCCCATCCTGGGGGTCACACTGCTTCAGCATCTCAGCCTGCACCGCCGTCATCTGTGCATCGGTGACGTGGTAGTCGGCCGTCTCTGGAAGATTCCAGATGGCAGTGAGCACGTTCCACAGCTGTTGGTGGTCGGTCCACCAGGCCGGCGCTCCCGCAATGACACCATCGAAGTCATCGGGGAACATCTGGACCTCCTTCATGCCCTGCTTGCCACCGGCGGAGCATCCACGGTAGTAGCTGTAGGAGATATTGTGACCGTAGTATCCCTCCGTCACTTGCTTTCCGTTGACAACAGCGTCGTGGAGGGCACGGTAGCCCCAATTGGTCAGAGCAGCTTCATTGTGGTACCCGAAGCTGCCGTTGTTGCCTTCGTGGCCGGTATCGGTGGAGATACTGGCGAAGCCATACCAGGCGGTGTTCATAATGGAAGACCATCCAACCGATCCCGAGAATTCGCCGTTACCAACGGCCATAAACCGACCGTTCCACTCATCAGGAAGCACGATACCGACGCTGTGCTGAGTGTTGTTGGGCAGGGTGATGTTGGCCTGGGCAACACAGCTATCGACAGAGACCTCATAGGGGTTGTTCCCCGTGGGAAGAGAAGTCAATCCATAGTTGTACTTGATGGGAGGAGTGAAGTTGGCTCCTTTGGCATAGTGATCCGCATAGAAAACAGTAGAGTTTTCGGGCAAGAACGGGGCGATGCTCTCGACACTGCAGTTCCTTTTGGCCGCTGCCAGCGTGGCCACGGTAAGGAGAGGAGCAGCAGACTTCATTGCTGCAATGGAATCGAATGAAGGACGAAGGAATGTATGGAAGAAAAGAATGGAACGTGTATGTGTTCATGCTGGTAGCAACAGGAGGGTGGCACATTTTATACCTCAGATGAAGCCGCCTGACTCCTAAGAAAGGATAAACCAAACAAAGTATGATTCTGGAATAGATCCACATCACGACGACGCATGAGTCTGTGTCGATGTTGCACGCAGTCGAAGAAGCCCATCATGGTGTATCAACATTCAACAAGCTTAGACTAGTGCTTTATCCACCACATTGTCTAACGGCCTAGCCGGCCTTCTCGAAGCTGATCTGCATAAAATCGCTGGGAAGAGGAAAGTCTCCGCAGCAGCAAAACGGGAGCCAGGAACCGTTCGATCTTATCGTACGCCAAGGAATATCATTGGAGCTGGAGGTAAGCTTAATCTACCATTTCTTCTTGTTTCTGATGCTCCACCTCCGCTTCTGCACGACTAGAAAACGGGGAGTGGATAAGATGACGACGACTTTCCATCGTAGGGCGCTGCTACTTCTTCAACATGAAACACGGGTCTCCTTGTCAAGCATATTTCGTTAGTCACCAAGCAGCTTCGGAATAGCTTAACTCTGGTCCGATGTCCGGTAGATGTTATATCTCTCCGAGGTCTCAATCATAGAGAGACGGGCTTATCTCCGTTTGATCACGGCCGGAATTGTCTTCTGTATAGTGTGCCGTCAAAGCCTTGAATGAAAGAGCCACGTAACCAGCACAGAAAGGCAGTCAAAGAACGGGTATGACATGATACAGGGGAGTCGTCTTGCGAGATTATTGATGGCACTCGCCAATATATATTTGTTGCAGGAGGTTTTAGTGTCAGTGTGTGAGTTGAGCGACTGCTAAGGAGATCATTGGTAAACTAGGAGTAGCATCTTGCTGTAATTGATTTGATTTATTATTGCCAATCAAGAGACCTTGTACCTGAGCAAATAAGCACACTATGTCTGCACTTTCAACAACCATATAGAATTGTAGCCAAGTCGATCCATGATATCTCATAGAAGCACTGTAACTAGGTAGTAGGTAGTGAACTAGTGGGCATCCAGACAAACCTGTCAAACACGGACCTTACTAAATCCGGCTGCCGAGCCCAGTGCACGTGACTGGCGAGCGGGTTGAACTTCTCTAGACCCCCCCGTGGTTTCCGGCTTACGACAACCCTTGGACCTGTTATCAAGTCAACAAGACACACCAGTCTCCCCCCCCAACAGACCAGCCTCTCGTCAACTTATTTAGCGATGAAGGTGCCGAGATAGTGTCTTTAGATGTTGATTCTGTCTTTTGAGGTTCTCCTAGTGCTCTCTGAGATCTCTCGAGTCGATCTCCGCCATGTTCATTCGCTCCTTGACAGTGAACCTGCCTGAGCTGGAAACCCAATGTTCTTCCGCATCCCGACCGCCCACTTGCTCATTAATGCCGACCGCATCTCGACCCTTTGCCGACTCAAAATTCTCTGATGGTCTCTACGACCAGCTTAGTATAGCGAAAATTCACTTTAAACTTGTGTGCGCTATAGACTTCCTGCGCGTTGCCAGCCAACAGTGTGAAAGACTGGCAAGTGTCGATCCCTCAAGCTGAGGGACTGGGTTATTCCGATGTCACCCCATCCTAGCATGGGTGTCAAGGTACGTATTGCCTTGGATTTCAGATAGGCCCAGCCATCTCCGGGCTGGACGAGTATCTGCCTATCGTCCGATTCCTGGATTTCTACGTGTGATTTCGGTAGATCTCAGTCGTTTGCTTCCCGCCTCGAGCTGATGCTCGCTTCATGCGAAGCTCAGTCTCACATATGGCACATTGGTGAATCTTCGAGTAATTATCGGGGAGTTTGTCCTTTGATCTATCATAACCGTGCTTTTTTGCTGAAAGAGGCTCGGGCCCTTCCAAGCTGGGATCGCGCTATGTCTATTCGCCGCTGAACGGTTGTATACGCCGGCAGCTTCCTCCGGACAGTCAACCGAGCAAGTATAACAGCGGGTGATTGAGATGGCCAACAATCTTCGTGATCCCGAACCGTGGTGGTTATTCCGGCTCGCTCCCCTCAATATTTATCGAATGCTGCCTTGCTAAGTCGAACTGGTTGATCTAGCGACTGAGTATTGCATGAAATCGACCTTGTGCAATGCTGCAATGGCTCACTTCGGGCGGATTGCTTCCTCTGTTGATCCACATCATTTGCGTTTGGGTATATATGGTTCTTGTAGATAGGTTCCTCTTTTTTGACACCGAGGGAATGTGCTTCGCACAACAGGTGGCGGTGGACAAGCTATTTGGTGAAGAGGCGGGGAAGGACATAAAGGATTGGCAGCAGAACGACCGACAATGAGCCGCAGCTCAAACTGAAGTCACAGGAGAAGGATCGAATCAGCGACCCAAGGCCAGCTCTGTCTGCATCACGACAAGTGCAAAAGAAAAAAAAGTCTTGGTTGCATAATCGCATCAAGCACACCACCCAGGCAAAATAGCCATGGAAGAAGTCGGGGGCTCTGCCAGGCTGACCTGAAGCGCTTCCCATTTGGCGGCAATCCGACTTAGGGGCATTTCGACATCGCAAGTCGGCCCCAGCCCCGGTGCGAGGTACTGGAGATCAAGTTTCGATTGCTCCGGGAGTGATCCGCTGCTTGCCTGCTCATCATGTGGTGGGTGAAGTGCCCTTCATCTCGTGAGAGCGACTCACTATCGTAGTAAGAGCCACACAGCAATGCTGGGACTGGCGGTACATGGGATTCTGGCTCGCCCAAGAAAGTCGCCCGCTTTGACTCGGTCGACTGACTGACTCTTCACTATTAAAGAAGAGAAGTCCAGTCACTTGCCAGTCATTTGCCAGTCACTTCCCGCCGATAAGTAGAACTCCATCCAGCACCACACTTTCAACGGGTGGTGTTCTTCGTATTGGTGGCCCGCCTTGGAGAGGAATTCCACACCACATCCCCCTCTTATTCTGTCGCTGTGACTTCACTCTATTCAAGCGGATAGCATACAAAACAGGAACGGAAAGGTACGTCTATCCCTTCCATTCCCTTCCCTTCCCTTTCCTTGAGTTAATGAGACCCTTTCTATTGCCTTCTTCACTATGGAGAGTATTGTCTCCCGGCTATTAACTTTTTTCCTCTTTTTTCTGACAGTCCGCCTTTGCTTTTCGTCTGATCCTCAACAACCTACCACCGCCATCGAGTCTATCGATCTCACCCGGAAAAACCAGTCTTCCGCACCACCCAATCCCCAGCACTGAAGGAATCCTCTCTGAGAAACGCGGCCGGCACACGCCCACCCACACCCACCCCCCCCAATCCAAACCCAAACCCGAATCGCCTAGACAAGATACAGTACACTAACTAGGCTCCACCGGACTTTCTCTCGCGCTGACATCTACATGCGAACCGTCTCTTTCTCTAGCGGGTCGGTCGTCTTGATCCCTGCCGCCTCTTTCCCTTCTCTTCTGCTTGAAACTAGATGCAGCTGAAGCAGCTTACATGGCTGGGTCCCGCAGGAGTCCGGTGTTGAGAGACGAGTGGAAAGCCCCCAACGACCCTGGAGATCACAGAGATCGGGAACGGAATCATCGACCTCGAGGTTCCTATCGTGATCGGGGTAGGGATAAATTTCGCGATCGGGAGCCTCGCCGCCGCCCTAAGGAGAGCAGACCTGATTATTCGCTACGGTCGCCGCCTCCGCGTTCCCATCTTTCTTACGACGATTCACGTCCGCACCGCGAGTTTTCACCTCCTATCTCTCGTCGTGGCTCATCCGGTCTTCCGCCCCCTGACACCTACCCTAGCCAGAAGTCAGCTCGTCACCGATCACCCAACCCTGCGACTCGTCCTGATTCGCAAGCGCACCGGTCGGTAGACACGGATAGACCTGCTGGCAAAGGCCTTCGACGAAACGACTCTCCATCTGCACCACCACCTTCGAAACGTAAGAGAACACGGAGCCCGTCTCCCGGTGGGTTTCATTCACACTCCAACCGGCCAGGACATCGTCGGCCTTCCTTCAACCCCAACGACGAGCTGGACCGTGGATATTTACCGAATAGGCGAGGCCGGTTTTCAGGACGCAGTAGAGGTGGTCGGAGGCCTTCTCCCGGGTCACGACGAGGAAGGGAACGCCGCAAGGCCGGAGGAGGCCGCCCTGTGTCCCCACACTCGAGGCGTTCGAGGTCGCCAGTCCGCGGAGGAAAGCCATACTCACATCCTTCTCGACGCCCACACAGCCCGTCATTCGAAGACGAGCCCCAGGGCGAACGCCGCTACCGCTCACTATCCCGTCATTCTGCTCAATCTGTGGCTTCGAGATACTCCGGAGACTCACGTCGGAACTCAATAGGTGAGCCCATGATGGATTCGACGAGATCAACTCGACCTTCGGGAGGCGATTCACACAAGTCTTCCTCTCCTCGCCGAGAGCCGTCAATTTTCGATATTAATCCCGCCGGGGAATCATCTAAGGGAGAAGCCACGCGTAATACAACTCGGGGAAGACGTGTGTCTGATGCTTCCAATGACCAGCATTCGAGGAATTTTCGGCCATCAGCAGATGGTTCCCATGTCTCAAAATCATCACATCATGCGGCATCTCCCAAATCCCATGCTGAGTCTACATCCCCTTACTCGAAGGACCGGAGTGACTGGCCCGGACAACAATCGTCGTACCAGAATTCCCACGTGTAAGTCGGCTTTTGAGATTTTCTTCTCTACAATGCAAATCTAACCACGGTGTCTAATTAGCCACTCTTCACCAAAACGGCAAGATAATTACGCCACGGGGGACTCGCAGAATCAGTATCAGCAACCACACCATTCTTCACACAATCGTGGTCCATCACCATCACCAGGTCCAACTTACCGCGATGAGAACTCGGGATATCGGGGGAACCATCATGGCAACATAGGTGGGTCTTCCCCTCGGGAAAGAGGTAACTTCAACAAGTCTCACTGGAATACACCGAGTTCGCGGGGTCAAGCGGACCCGTCAAACCCTAACGAACCGTATGGGCCGTCACACAGTCCCTCACCTCCGCCAGCGGGTGATCGGGCAAGATCAGTTGTCAACGACGATAGTGATCAATATGGACGTTCACGACAGGATTCACGAGCAAATATCGACAGGTCTAGAGCCGATCCCGACAATGGCGATTCTCAAAGAGATCCGCCCCCGGGTATGCAACCATCCGCTGCTTCTGCTACTCCAAACAAGGGAGGCAAAATTAGTTTCGCCTTCAAGGCCAAGACTGCTCCTGCCCCAGCACCCAAGCCGGTTCCCGACTTAGCTCAGAGGATGCTAGCTCGAGAGCCACCTCAGCGTGCCGCCGAGCCACCTTCACGCAACAGGATGCCGGTTGGCCCACCGCCAAAGTTCAAATCCGAGCCTCGCTTTGATCGCCGCGACCGCGACCGCGACCGTGACCGCGAACGCGAACGTGATCGGCGTGAGCGAGAGCGTGACCGTGCACGAAATGACAGAAGAGACTTCCGGGACTCCCGCAATTATCGCGATACGCGAGAACCTCGTGGGCCCCGAGAGCCCCGAAGTATGCGTGAGGGTAGACGGGACGACCGCCGATTCGATTCTCCTCGCACAGAAAGACCTCGAGGAGATCGGAGACAGGATTTCCGCCCTGATCGCCGTCCCGAGCGCTCTCCGGAGCCGAGAAAGCAAATCAAGATTATGACTCGCATAAAACCACGCCCCGTTCTTTCTGAGGAATTCGCCAACTCGGATTCTGTATACTACCGAAAACCAGGTAATGAATCGGTCATTGGTGCAGGCACTTACGGCAAGGTTTTCAAGGCGATTCATGTCTACACCCAGCGTAAAGTTGCGCTCAAAAAGATCAGAATGGAGGGTGAGAAGGATGGCTTCCCTGTGACCGCCGTTCGAGAAATCAAGCTGCTTCAACATCTTCGCAATGAAAATGTTGTCAGCTTATTAGAAGTCATGGTGGAGAGAAATGAGTGTTTCATGGTGTTTGAATACCTCTCGCACGACCTGACGGGTTTGATCAACCACCCGACCTTCACTCTAACCGAAGCACACAAGAAGGACCTCGCCAAGCAGATGTTTGAAGGCTTAGATTATCTCCACCACCGAGGCGTCATGCACCGTGATATCAAGGCTGCTAACATCCTGATCAGCAACCGAGGGCAGCTGAAGTATGCCGATTTCGGTTTAGCACGATTCTTCGCTAAAAGTCGCCAGCTAGATTATACGAACCGTGTCATCACGATCTGGTACCGACCACCGGAGCTACTACTTGGTGAGACTCGGTACGGCCCCGCTGTTGATGTCTGGAGTGCGGCTTGCGTATATGTTGAAATGTTCACGAAGAAGGCTGTTTTCCCGGGTGAGGGAGGGGAGATAAGTCAACTCGACAAGCTCTACAATTGCCTTGGCACCCCGAATCGCGCCGAATGGCCAGATCTGGTTGAGATGCCTTGGTTCGAGCTAATGCGCCCGACGGAGCGGAAGAAGAGGATTTTCGAGGAGGTCTACGGTGAAATCCTCTCGCCAGCAGCTCTCGATCTTATATCTCAGGTCTTTCAGTATGACCCTGCGAAACGACCAACCACTGGGCAGATATTAGCGCACCCATACTTCACCACGGAGGAGCCACGGCCTCAGCAAGCTATCGAGTAAGTCTTCGTGCCTTGGCTTCATTTGATATTGAAACCTAACTGAATATCTTAAGGCTCGAGAACATTGAGGGTGATTGGCACGAGTTTGAGTCTAAGGCCCTCCGCAGAGAGAAGGACAAAGAACGCCGTGCAGAGTACCAGAGGGATAAAGAGAAGCGCAAGGTGGCTCATCTGGCACCCCAAAGTGACAGGGACGCCAAGCGCATCAAGGCTGGCTCCGAACGTCAGTCAGACTCCGCACAGCCTGCCGAGTAATAGGTTGCTGCATCTATTTAACGATTGCTGGGTTGGGGTAGCTACGAAATACTTTGACCCTTTGCTGATGACATGACTTCGATATTCTTGTACTTATGAATGTCCTTCAAGCTTCCAGGCCTACTGACGAACGAGGTTGGGCCAGTTGACTCGTCCAGTAATTGCAAGGTAGCATTATAATTCCTTTTATCATATTTTGTGCGACACGATTGGAACACCATGCATGCATTTGTTATCCATGTTTCAATTGACCCGGCGGGGGGGGGTTTATAGTTTTGGTTCGTCCAGTCATCACCGGTTGCTGCTCGATTCCCCTCGCGAATTGCCTTGTTCATTTGTTTTTAAAAAAAAAATTATCAAATAAGTATTTCAAATTCGATGGCAGAGTACTTGTCGATCTGAGACATAGATCAATAGGTGTAGAATTTTGTAGAGGCATCAAACAAGTGCTAAGCATCAAACAGTCGGCTCCCGCCCTATGATCGGGCCTTGTCAGTAACCAAGCGACCGCATGACGTTGCAAGTATCAACCATTGCTCGGGACGTAAGATTACGACAATCAGAAATGCCTTTTCACCTCACACTCTACCAGCGCATAGCCAAGTCAGGCCTATTCACACGGTTGAGCACCTCGGATTACCAGAGTATGTGATATAAGAGCTTCATCATGGTAGAGACCCCTAAGGTCTGGGAGCAGAAGGAAAAGTGACGGACGCACCGGATCCTTGGAAAGACTACGATGCCCTTGCATTATAGAGCAGAGTGGACTACGAGTACTGCCAAATCCACCACAATTCCAGTCTGGATGTAAAGAAAGGGAATGTCCCGTCAATCAGGTCATCACCGCATCATGGAGCCCTGAGAAGAGCCCTCGTGATGATGGTTTTAGATGCGGGGTCTTGATGCTCGTTCTCGACACACTCATCGGAGTCGCCAGTGCAGTAGATAATTCGACAGAATCAAATAATTGTGCAACCAGCGATGATTTGAGTTGGTGGTCTTGGGTTTGTTATGGAAAAGAAAAGGAGAGGAAAGGAACGGGAAGAAGTCGAAGGGTTTTTATATGGACGGAGGAGAGAACGGACGGAGCTGGAAAAACCACAAAGGCGGAAAAGCAGTGGGGCAGAGGGTTGATTGGTTAGGAGAGGCAGGAAGAAGCTTGACGGCAGAAAACTGACTTGGGTTCCAGTCGTTGTTCTCTGCCGTTCTGGTTCTTCACAGTTCACTCCGATCTCTGCCTTTGCTCTCTCTCTCCCTCCTCTCTCTCTCTCTCTCTCTTTCCCTTCCTCTCCAGCAGGTTTAATTCCCAATTCCGCATTTCTTCCACTCCACATCCACTTCCAACTTCCACCACCACCACCACTACCACCACCACCACCACTACTTCCACTTCCACTTCTCCCGATCTTCCCACACTACTCCTCCCACCCCTCGCCTCCGATCTCCCTACTCCTCATACAACAGACTAAATCCTACAGATCACATCCCTCACACCCCCCGCATTCTCCCATTCGTCACGTTCACGATCACGATCACGATTATTCTTCCTTGACTTCTCTTCTCCTCTCTCTTTTGGACCGAAGTTCTTCCCCTCTTGCCGCTCCGTTCGCCCCAGTTTGAACCTAATTGAACCTAATTTCTAAACCCTGTCTACACCTTTCTCCGTCTATACTGGCCTCATTGTTCGATCCTCCTCTTCGTGTTCTCGGGTTCCTATTCTTCTGTACTATTTCGTCACCCCGCCCGATCCTGTCTGCCTCCGCCGGTGACCGCTCGTTTTTTTTTCTGAGCTGTCTCAGTAGCTAGTACATCCATGGATAACGCAAACCTCTGGACCCGCAGATCTAAGTATGTTACGAGTTCGCGCTTGATGATTTACCTTGGCCGCTTGGCGAGGTCGAGATAAAAATGAATAGAACTAACAAAAAGTTCTCATGCAGCGCTTCCAAGTTGTCTCTGTCGATGACAGGGTCGGACGGCGCTAGAGTTGAACTTCCCCGCGCCTCGAAACGGTTTGGCCCAGATAGCTCCCACGGTGGTCGATCCAACCCTTTCAACGCCCTGTCGCCTCTATCGGGCGGCGTCTCTTCCCCTTCGACAAACGCCTCCTCCGCATTCGGCCTGGGCTCCGGTGCCTTCGCGTCTTTCGGAGCCCCCAAGACTCCCGGAGCTTCCGACGTCAAGACTCCTGGGTTCGAGAAACGGGAAAACCCTGTCGACCAGGAACTGGCGGCGGAAAGCGCCAAAGCCAAGGCCGCATTCGCGATCAAAGAACATCCGCTCAAGTCCACATGGGTGATCTGGTACCGCCCGCCGACCCCTAAGTATTCCGACTACGAGAAGTCCACCGTCCCCCTCGCCGCGATATCCTCGGTGGAGAGCTTCTGGTCGGTCTACTCGCACCTCAAGAGACCATCTCTCCTTCCTACCGTCTCCGATTACCACATCTTTAAGAAGGGCATCCGTCCTGTCTGGGAGGACGATGCCAACAAGAAGGGTGGCAAGTGGGTGGTGCGGTTGAAGAAAGGCGTGGCGGACCGGTACTGGGAGGACCTGCTCCTGGCTATGGTCGGGGATCAGTTTGCGGAAGCGGGCGACGAGGTTTGCGGAGCTGTCTTGAGTGTGCGCAGTGGAGAGGATGTGCTGAATGTCTGGACTCGGATTGATGGGGGACGGAACATTAAGATTCGGTATGTTCGTTACAAGATTCCCAAGGTTCTTGGACTAACCCGATCGACTGCAGCGAAACCATCAAGCGTCTACTCAACTTCCCCACCGACACCAACATCGTCTGGAAGAGCCACGACGACAGCATCGCTCAACGCTCGGCGATCGATCAGGCTCGCCAGGATAAGGCCGCTGGTAGCACCGGGCACCACCATCACCACCATCACCACAGTAGCAACCAACAACAACACCACCATCAGCAGCAGCAGCAGCAGCAGCAGCAGCTGGGGGGAGATCGACGACGAGCCCCGACGACGGCTAGCGAGGAGTCCGACCACAAGGGCAAGGCCGCTTTGTCTTGATCGCCATGCTTTATTCTTCTCTCTCTTTTCTCTTTTCTCTCTTTTCAGCCAGCCTGGGTCATATGGGTCCTGTATAGTAAAAAAAGGAAACCTTTTTTTCTTTCCACGCAAAACTCATTGGGACGAATTGGGATCGGGGGCATTTGGGGCGAACATTGCGTCTGATCTGATTTTTTATCTTACCTTTTTATTGTCCGGAGGGTGTTCGTGTCGCATTGTTTCTCTTCTATTCTCACTAGTTTCGAATGTCACGCGAGATGCTACGCTATGCTATGCTATGCTATGCCATCTGATGTTATGACCTGGGATGGGGTTTGTGGACTGTGGGATATGGTTGTTCAAATGTGATGGGATGACGACATGCGTTAGTAACTACTGGAATTACTGATGATTTGAGTCTTCCGTACGAATAAATTCAAGTATTTACAGACTTGTGCCCTGCAGGCTAAGACGCAAAACATTTCCAGGATCACTGTACGATATTCTGCTTGCTTCTCTGCAGCGTCGATTAACTCTGTCGCGGAGAATTTCCTAGTGCTCCTCTTGAGCCGAGTCAAAGCCAGAAGGTACGGATCGGTATACTGAAACCCCATTCTATCATGTATTCAATGCTATAACTACAGTATTTCTCGATGGTGCATCCGCAATGACTGGGTTGGTTTCATAAGCAGGGTCAAGATCTGCGATAAGATAGATTCCCCCCAAAACACTTCGGATGCATGCATCCAAGCGGTTTAGGGTGAGCTGTCATAGATTAGGGTCTGGTGGGTTTGTTGGTTCGGTATACTATTCCTGGGGAATGTTTGAATGGATTATTATTATTATAGCCTTCAAGGCCAAAACATGAAACTTGGGGCTGAGATGCATTCTTTGTATAGTTGAAGAAAATAGTACCTTGGAGCTCGGTTTAGCGTAGAGAATAACGAATGCGTTCAAATAAGTTAACGTTACTGGTTAGTCTGGTCTAGTGCACACAGGATGACCGGGTTAATAGTGCCATGCTGCCAGTGGCTCCGTGCCCCGTGGTGCAGTAATGCATCCTTCCGGCGGGAGTTGATTAGGGGAGATAAAGGAAGGGAAGCAGGCTAATTAAGGAACAAAAAAAAGAGGGAAACGGCAAAAGAAAGCAAAAAAGACAAGAAAAAAGAAAGAGAAAAGAAAAAAACGGTGCCCCAGTTCGCAGTTCCACAAAGCGGTGGGCAGAAACTCCCTCCCTTCCCCTCCCCACCGCCTTTCCTTGCTCCCCCCATTATGATGCGTTTCTTGTCACTGTCAATTCCAACTCCCCTCTTCGTCCTGCGGCTCTGCAGTTTTTTTAAAAACAGAGTTATGAAAGCTCTTTGTAACCGTTCGGTCGCGCAATGACCATTGCTGGGAAGTTGTCCCGCTACTTGAGATTTCCATTCTAAATCAATCCCCCCGCGCCCGCCTTGCACACCGTCCAGCCGGAACTCATATACGGTGTGCTGCGCTGTGCTTTCTTGTCTGCCTCCTCCAATCTGCCCTCCGCTATCCGATGCGACTTTCCGCTCCAATTGACGGACTAAGACGTCCGTTGCATCATTGTGACTTTCTCTACGGGATCTGAGTCTTGAGAAGGCTTTTCACCGGACGTTTCGATTTTATAGCAACCAAAGATCCAGTTTTTTTTCTTTTTTGGGGAGGAGGATGGTTCGTTCGTAAGTACAAGCAAGCCGCACATGTTCTCGGTATTTCCGCACATGCGGAACAACGGGCTAATGCCGCAAGATACAACCAGACCCGACGACAAGCCCATTCGCCCCCACTACAACAATCAAGCAACTTTAGAAGACGAATTAAGACTATTTCCCAGCAACTCACGGTACGCGCCCGCTCAAGGCTCAATGAGTGGATTGGTACAGCGCTCATACATGCTTGCGATCTAGATCAGATGACCCCAATGGAGTACCCATAATTCCTGGACAAACTATGCCGAAGAGAAAAAAGATAGGGGTGAGTTTGTTCTGAATCGCATAGTTGATTTCACCCTGCTGATCTTTTTGTCTCCTCGGACGTGAAGGACTCCCCTTTCAAGATCGTGGATCGGATATCAGGGAAGGCCCGACAAAGTGGGCCAGTCCGTGCTAGCAAGAAGGAGATCCGTCCCCATGAGATTCACCCGTATGAAAGGCCGACCAAACGTCCCCGTCATCGCGCCGCCCCGGAGCCGTCACGGTCTGGAAGCATTCTCGGCCTCGTCGACAAGGAGACCGATGCGCACCCCGCGCTGGATACCTCTCCCCCTACCACACACCCGTCACGTATGTCTCCCACCTCGAGCCACCGATCAGCCAAGTTGAGGAAGACGCGGAATAACTTATTTGCCCTGGAAGAGTTTCGCGGTGTCGAGAAGAACGTCAAACCCCCGCAGCAGCAGCAGCAGCACAGGAAGGGCAATGTTAAGCACGGCAAGAAACATCCCGCCCCGACTCCTCAGCCCGACGATGCCCGCGAGGAACGCTTCACGGAGGATGCCGCGGCTAAGAGGCGTCATCGAGCTTCCTCGGATGATGGTGGCTTTTCCAGGATCGACGGCTCGAAGCGTGCGCCCAAGCACGAGGTGTTCCGGGGTGTGGAGATTTCGCCATCCAAGAATCGCAATCCTGGTAAAGGTGCACTGGCTCGTTCACCTCGTCAAAACGGCCTGGCTTCGCCTACGAGGATGAGAGAGCAATCCGAGTCACAGGACAGTCCGGACGAGTTGCAAGTCACGGTCGAGGTGCGCCGGAGTAAGAAAGTTGCGGGAAAGGGCGAAAATGACAACCGGGTAGCCCTGGGGAAAGAGCACCGACAATCGTCACCGGCCGATATCCAACACACGGTCTTTACTCCTTCCAAAACTAAGCGCGGATTAAAGGGTAAGAAGCAGAAGTACACTACTAATAAAGCAGCCTCCACTACAAAGTCCTTTGGGATTATCTATGCCCGCTTTGGGCCTATTGAGCAGCATGCTGATCAAAGAAATGGTGTTGAGCTTTTCATGGACCTTGAGCGAGGTCTTATCTTGTTGCATAATCAAAAGGACCCGGCAGAATGCTTTGAGCTCCCTTTGAGTAAAGTCACCAAGGCTACCGGGGGGGTTCCTCCGAGTGGCAAGATCAGACTCTTCTTGTCTAAGATGGAAGGGCTCGATCAGAAGTTAGACCTAGAGCTTTCTTCGGCCGACGAAAAAGAACGATTCTCCGATGGTCTCCGGGGTTGGAATATCGAGCCGTTACTGCAGGACGAGTATGTATACTGTCACCCTCTCAGATGGGCTCACGCCAACTGCTAACTGCATTAAGAGCCTGGTTGGAGAAAGCCTTTCACACTCACGATAGAGAACTAAAACAACACCCTAATGGACTCAAGAGACCGTTGCCTGCAGGTCCGCAGAGAGGTACTGAGAAGCCCGCGTTGCCGGTCAAACGAATGCGACTCTCAGACTCTCTGCAAGACGAAAGAGGAAACCCCACAGTCACCGCCCCTCGGGAACTTCCCGGCCCCTCCAATTCTGCAGCCAAGTCCTCCCCGTCTTCACCGGACGTCAGTCCTCGTGCATCCAAACTATCCTCCGCTTTGAGTGTGCAGATCCCCGTAAAGACCCATACTTCTCCGACACTTCCAGCGTCAAATCGTCAGACTAGAGCCATGCTACGTCGCCTTCCGTCGACCACCATCGTGAGGTGAGCCTTACTCCGTCCCTGTTGTTTAGGCAACTGGTCCACTGACTACCTGAAGTGATGACGACGATGAAGCGGACCAGTCAACCCAGTCACAGTCCGATGGACCTGTGAAAAAGTGGCATAAGTATGTAATTTTCTGCTGTCACCATGAGGTGATTCTGACTCTTCATTAGACCCCTTGTTTACCCCCGATTCGGGAAGAAAAAGGCCGAGGTCAACATGCAAGACCGTGACCGACTTCGCAAAAATGACGAATTCCTGAATGATAATCTCATTGAGTTCTACATCCGCTTTTTGCAGGAACACCTCAGTCGAACGAACGAAGATGTGGCCAAGAGAGTATATTTCTTCAATTCGTTTTTCTATGACACCCTCATGAATGTGCCGCGGGGGAAGAAAGGCATCAACTACGACGGCGTGCAGAAATGGACCAGGAACGTTGACATCTTCAACCACGATTTCGTCGTCGTGCCCATCAACGAACATGCCCATTGGTATGTTGCCATCATATGCAATTTACCGAAACTGCAGGACCTTGCCGAGCCGCAGGTCTACGATGAGCCACTGTCCAGCCAGGTGCAGTCGTCGTCTCAGTTGGACAGTCAGGTCCAGGAGATACCGGAGACCCCTCCGCCTGAGGCTCCTCGCACTGCAGAAGGAGCGTCGACAGCTTCCGATGCCGAGCCTGCGAAGGAAGAACAGACTCGCCATTCGTTGGCTTCGATGACCTTGGCCGATGAGCCCCCCAAGAACGCTTCCAAGGAGGGGACGCCGGCGGAGGAAAGGCCCGATCGCGAGGAGGTTTCATCTATTCCTGTGCAGGCCTTCCCCAAAACTCAGGCGGAGCAGCCGTCGTCGCAGACAGCTTGTTCGCAAGACGCCGTCAAGGCCTCCGATGCTGCCAAGGCATCGCGAAAACAGGTGACGAAGCGGACGAGCAAGATCGACGTCACCCAGCCTACCATCATCACCTTCGACTCGTTAGGCGTCACTCGCAGTCCTACCTCGCGGATCCTGCGCGATTACCTGTACGAGGAGGCGAAATCCAAGAAAGGCGTCGAGATCAACACGAAGCTCATTCGAGGCATCACGGCTCAGAAGATTCCGCTGCAGCCCAACTACTCCGACTGCGGGTTGTATCTTCTGGCGTACTTGGAGAAATTCGTGCAGGACCCGGACACGTTCATCCGGAAGATACTGCAGAAGGAGGACGGCGACTGGCCACCGCTCAAGTCGGGACATCTCCGCAAAAGACTGCGCAAGTTCCTCGATGCGTTGTATGATGAACAGGAGCAGATGAGCAAACAGGAAAGTAGTGCCAAGGAGACCATGGCGGATCGCAAGCCGATCTGTTATCTGTTAGGGTCTCCTTGGGCATCGCCGGAAGCGCAGCGCGGGGTGAAGACGGAGTCGCCGGTGAAAGCGACCGGAAACCAGACTATGAAGTCCCCGTCTCGGGCGCCTGAGCATCGGCCAGATCCAGAGTCACCGACGAAAGCTGCGGTCTCGAAGGATGATGTTCAAGTCAGCGAACAGAAGGATGAGGCGGCGGGCGTGATGGATCACAAAGAACGGGAGGCGGCAGACGAAGTTCGTCTAGTCACATCTACGAAGGACGAGACGGGGCCGTCTTGTCCGCCCCCGACTCGGCAGGAAGTTATCGAAGTTCCGGACAGTCAGGAGCTGACCGCCCCCTTGAAGGCGAAGTCGGAGACCACGAGGCCAGTCACCCCGGTTCCGTCGCCGTCCAAGGTTAGGTCGGAGGTCAGCAAGACGTATACACCGCTCCATCTGTCTGCCGTGGCCACGGAGTCTGATAGCAAGATGTGTAACAAAGACGGTGGGGTTGTGCCAGACACGGTTGTTGAGACCCAGGTTCCCGGGACACCTTCGAAGTCGTTGCTTGTCAAAGACAGTCCGTCTAAGAAATGATGACTGGATGTTGCTGATAGCATTGGACCTTCGAAGGCCTGCTTGTCGAAGACAGTCTGTCTAAGAAACGATGTGACTGATAGCATCGGGACTTTGAGGGCCTGCATGTCAGACCGTCCGTCCAAGAAACGATGACTGCATGTTGCTGATTAGCATATATCTGGATTTTCTCTTTTGTTGTTTTGATATTGCATTTCGATCTCCCTGGCGTTCGGGAAAATTGTGGGAACATTTAGCAGTAGCATAGATACCAGATACCAAGCTTGCTTGCATTTGTGAGCGATGTGGGGGGTGGAGGGGTTAGTTAGAGGTTTTGTTTGAGTGTATATGACTTATGATTATGGTTCGAACAGAAGATACAGATAGATCGACTTTTCTATATTGCAGTGTGTACATCTAAGGTCCTTGGGCGTGTCACCAATCCCGCTCATCCGCCTCGACCCACCAAGCCATCTTATCCCTCTTGAAGGCCTCGAAATCCCACTCGGCATCCTCCAACCGCTCCCTCCCGGCTGTCCAGACATACGTCAACGCCTCGACCTCTTCTTCTACCCCGTCAGGTACAGTAGCAGCAGTAGTCTCCAGCCCCTCCAACCCCACCCGTACATCCTCCTCCTCCTCCTCCTTCTCATCCCCAACCCCATTAGCCCCCTTCCCCCTCCCCTTCCCCTGCCCCTTCCCCTGCCCCTTCCCCATAACCTTAACCCTAACCTTCACCTTAGTATATTCATCCCCCTCAAACAAATCCAACCGATAAACATCCCCCTCCGTCAACCCCGTTACCAACGTCCCCAGCACGGAGGCGGAGCTTGCATCCGCGTCAGCTTCAGCTTTACCCGCGTCCCTGGGAAGTGAATCCGCTGCTGCCACGCCTTCCTTCCCAACTCCCTCCCCCTCCCCTACCCCTATGCCCCCGCCTGACGACCCTCCCCCAGAGCCGACGGCCACGGCCACAATTCCCGGATAATCGGCGTGCCGCACCCGGTGCCGCCGGTAGTTGGGGAGGACCGCGGGCTGGATGGTGAGGTACGCTCGTTGCCAGGGTTCCGGCGTGGCGTGGCCGTGAATCACTCGGTGGAGGATTTGGGGGGACATTAGGGTTCCTTTTTCTTTTTCTTAGTCTAGTCATGGGTTGGGGATGGGATGGGGGCGTACCGTAGAAGAAGAGGGTGTTGTCGCCCATTTTGGGTTGGATTGTAGGTACTGTTGGTAACGGTGGTTATGGTGGTGGTGGAGGGCTGCTAGTTTATGTTGTGTGGTGTATGTAGCTGATAAGGTGGACTAGTGTATGTTTGAGTTCGGGGGGGGGGATAATTCTGGGATCTGGATTGGGTGATGATCTTGAGGGAGAGTTGAGATGGAGATGACTGTGTAAGTACAATACTTGAAAATAATCTACCCTGTGTAGACTGTCAATGGAAGTGAAGAAGGAACGGAAGGAGGGGTGAGTTAGTTACCACTGCAGCTAACTAGTGCTCTCCAGATAAGTTAACCGGCCCGTGAATATACACAACAACCTTATCGATAAGCCACGAGTCTAATCTACCTAGTTTAGCCGCGATCCCCTGCTCACCAGCCACAATCTCCGAGCTCCCGTGGAGAAAAGGCCCAGGTGGCTTCATCGTCATTATCATCATCTCTATCTCCTCTCGGCAACCACTGCAATCCCGCACGGATTGTTGTCTTCCCTTCTTCATAAGGGAACACTGTCCTCTCTTTATATCCTACATGCTCGCCGGAGACAATGCACTCCACGCTCAACCGCGCCCAAGCCGTCTTCGGCTTCTTCACCAGCGTCGCGCTCTTCGTCGCCGGGCTGGCCGCGCTCTCCGTGCTGCTGTTTCCGACGGACGGGGTCACGTCGCAGGTTAAGCTGCGGGATGTTAAGGTGTATGTCTGACCCTACCCCAAAGCGGGGCTATAGCTAGGTAGCTAGCTAGCTAGCTACCACACCTCCATTTACCTCCGCGGACAGCTTCAACCCAAACAAACAACAGTGAAGCTGACCGCCAACAGAACAAAAGGCCGCCCGCACTACTACTCCACCCGGAAGGAAGAGTACGCGCAGCTGCGCTTTGATTTGGATGCTGGTGCGTTGCGTTACCCCCTTCCTTAGCTCACAATTGTGGCCAGACACCTTTGGAATCAGCTAGAGGAGAAGAGAAAGCCCCCCCCCCCCCATCGAGACACAGCACAACACACCACTAACCTGACTCCCCGAGGAAAAGATCTAACCCCGCTCTTCAACTGGAACACCAAGCAACTCTTCGTCTACGTCTACGCCTCCTACCCTTCCGACCCGACCAACACCTCCTCCGCCGCCGTCTCCCACGCCGTCGTCTGGGACACCATCATCTCCGCCCCGGAATCGGCTTACTCGTTCGATGCGCTGAAGGAGCGGTTCCTCACCTCCCCTTCCACTGCCAAGAGCAAGAACAAGAGTAAAAGCAAGGCCGGTAGCAAGAAACCCGCCACGAAGGCGCCAGCGAAAGCGAAAGCCGAACCGGGCATCCTGAGGCTACGCGACCAGAAGGCCAAATACCAGATCGGGGATGTTTCGGGCAAGATGGCGGAGCGGGAGAATGTGACGTTGGCCGTGGGATGGAATGTGCAGCCTTGGGTGGGTGCGTTGTGGTGGAGTCCTGGGTCGGGGAGCGTGCCGCGCACGAAGGGCGGGGTGGGGGTTAGTGATGCGTTTGGGTTGCCTGCTTTGCGGAGGGTTGGTGCTGCGCAGCAGCAGGGGAAGAAGACTGCTGTTTAGGGTGTTCGGGTTGTTTTTGTTGGGGTTGTGGGTTTGTGGCTTTGAAGGTTCTCTCTCTGATTCAATAAAAGGATTCATTAGGTCATATCGTATTCTGGTTTCGTCGGTAACAAGTAACAGTAACAAGAGCAAGGATAAGGATAGCGCTAATCATATCATATCTTTGCCAACCAATCTTTCAGAAGCGCAAAGGCTCAATTCATCGTCGCTAGCGATTCACCCCAAGAACGAAAACAAAAACAAAACATCACGATTCATGATCTCATCCACCAGACCAGACTAGCTTCTCCAACCCACCGCTCCGCAACCCCGGCCCCAATTTAAATAGTCCCATACCCCGCCTGCTGCTGCTGCTGGTGATGGTGATGCGCCCCCCGCTGAATCCGCTCCGAATACACCCCCGGCGCGCGGCGCGGCGCCACCGCATCGGAGTTCCGGTAGTAGACGTACTCCAGGTAGAAGGCGTGGATGTGGCCGGGTAGGTAGCTGTTGAGTTTTAGTCTTAGCATGTTTATGTAGTGTTTGATGGTTGTTGTGATGGTTGCCCTTTTGTGCTGGGATGCAAGGAGAAAGGGGGGCAACTCACCCCAGAAGCGTGAGCAACAGGTTGATGAAGAAATCGGCGCTGCAGCCGGAGATCAGGAAGACGCCGAGGGGGGGGACTTTTTCGTTGGTTAGTTTAGTGGTTGGTTGGGGGTGGCTTCATTTTTGATTGAGGGTGAATGCGTACTGAAGATGGTGATGAGGATGAGGCAGAGCATGGAGCATGTTCCGGCCATTTTGGCTGGATTGTATTGTTGATGGGTTTGTGTGGGTGGTGTGGTGTAGGGGGTGGGTGTACTGTGTACTGTAGCTAAGCACGAAAGCGCACGGTTGATTTCACTCGCTTGCTGTTGCTGTTGCTGTTACTGTTACTGTGGTTGTTGGTGCTGCTGGTGCTGCTGCTGACCGTCTCGAGATACGTTCCCAGGAAACTCAACCCAAGGATCAGGAACAGGAGCAGGAATATATAGACGGGGACGTTGTCGTCTTGGGCGGAATTGAGGCGTTTCATTTTCTTTTTTTTTTTTTTTTTTTTTTTTCTTTTTCTTAGGGAGGCTAGCCCTGTCGTAAGGCAAGAACCAGAACCTAGAAGGCTGTCGACGTCACTGGGACGGGATACTCGTAGTACAGTGTAACTAGTTTATAGGGGGAAAGTATAGAACTGGAAAGGTCCCTGACGGGGGTTGATTGGAATGTGATGGCCAAAGAAACCTTGACGACTACCGGCAAGGGGACACCATCCCTGGGTTGACGTCATGGGGACAGAATACTGGCGGGCTTGGCTGGGGGATTGATTTACTTGATTTACTTTTTTTCATGTGTGATTTGATGGGTTGTTAGTGGATGGATTTCCCGGGGTAAGTCGCCCGTGTATTTGAATATAGGTGGGGCCATTGTGGCTGATGCTTTTATCCATATGGGTTTTGATTGATTGTTTAATTATGCCCAACGGCTATTTGTAGAGTTCATGCAGTAATTCTAACCTATGTACGATGTATCATATCTTATACTTGCCTGACGGCTTCACCTGCAGCCCAGATCAGACCAGACTCGAAATAACAACACATCATACTGTATCATCCCCTATACCGCATCAATCGATGCCCGCGTCGTCACCTGCTCGTTTTGATTGCCCAGCTTCGAGATCTGCAGGAATGCATCCACCCCATACCCCTCCAGGCTGTGCAGCTCCAGGCTCCCCGCCCAGTACTCCGCGTACACCCGGCTCATCGGCAGTCCGATCCCCAGCCGCAGATCCGGCCGCCGCGAGGTCAACGAGTCCAGCGAACTCTCCCGGAATGTCTCCTTGTCCGCGTGCTTCCGCTCCGTCGGCACGCTGAGCTCCTGCAGGGTGGCTGCCATCGCCGGAACCTTGCCCAGATTGCGGAGATGCGAGTTGCTGTGCGGTCCCTTGTTGAACGACCACAGGTACGGTAGCACCTCCCGCGGGATGCCGCCCCCTTGATCGGAGACGCGCATGATCACATGCTGCGGCGCCTCGCAGATGAGGACTTCGATCGGCGGCGCCTTCTCCGGCCGACCGTGGTACTTTTCACTCACGGCCTGGATGGAGTTGCGCAGCAGCTCGCCAATGATATATTCCAAATGGCTGAGCATGTACGGGAAGGTGGCCTCCAGATGCCCCTGCACCGTGATCTCAGGGATCTTGTCCGATCCCGACGTCTGCCGCATCATATCCTGCGCCAGCTTCCCGCAGCGCTCCACCACCTCTCTGGCATTGCACTTGAGGAACACCTCCCCCACGTAGTCGGCGTTGAGGTCCGAGCGATCCTGCGAACCGGGGAAGTGCCACGGTGAATTGAAGGTTTCGGTCAATGCAAGATGCTGCTCCGCAATGACTCGACGAGAGATTCTCTATGGCAAAACCATTAGCTTGGTCCATCTAGTAACTTCTGGGAACGCCTACCGCTCTCAAAAGGGTGTTCATGAAATGATCCAGGACTTCCGACGTCACCAGCTCGCGGCACTCCAAAACGCCCATGGCCAGTTTCGGGATCACCACCAGATGCTCCTGCAGGGTTTTGCGGAGGATCTCGCAGAAGTGGTCGTTGTCATCGAGGGTCTTGATTTCCGGGATGGCCCGAAATCGTTCAAAGGCTTTGTAGTAGAGCTCGTACACCAGCGAAAGATGCGGGTTCGCAACCACCACATATGGTAGTCGTTGGATGTCTCGGAGACGATGTGCAAGTCTGGGTGTACGAGGCGAGAGTCAGTCGGATATCCACCCCGCGAACAGAAAGCTTAAGTACTAAGTCAGGTACAGTACTAACCGAGTGGGCAGCTCTGTTCGCACGTAGTTGGCCGAGCTGATGAGGCGGGATTCGGTCAACGTTCGCCCGAAGAAAGTCAACTGACGTAAACTGATGGGACGGATGTCGCGCTCAACCCATCTGCAAGAGAACGAGATTAGCCCCGAGGTGGATGCGATGCGATCGAAGGGAAGATAGCATACTCGTCCAATGCTGTGACAGGTCGCCAGGGTGGGGGACTGTAGGCCTGGTAGCTAGTAGAGTAGAACCGCGGAGCTGACGAACAGCTCCGGCGGAGGGTACGCCAGCATCGGGCTGGATGGCTCGGGGCCATATTTCGGCTGCTGAGGACGGAGAAGGGTCAATTGAGGGGGTGGCATTTGAGTTACTCAGTACTCGCGGTGATACAACACGACAGGAGCGGTGGTCTGCTGGAGTCAGACGATCCACGGGTATTCAGCAGCGGACAAACCCTCTCATACATGGCGGGTTGTCAGAGGCGAGGATCGAAGGGCCCACAACGAATGGCCCAATTCACTCACCATGGTATGATGATCAGCTCATATATATAGTGTATTGTTTCCTTGAAGGATGGCAAATGCGGCCGGTTTTCCTCGACCGGGCGGTGAGAGCAGCAAAAAAAAAGAAAGAGGAAGCTCGCAGGCCGACTGGCATGTGACGTGCCTTGTTCGGGAATAGACTGTTTCCCGATGGATTGGCTCACAGATCAATGGATGGAATTCCGGTCGAGCATGACGCTACTGGGAACGTGATTGCTGAAGAAATCCTCATGAGAGGCGAGCCTTCTATCGTCATATCTGCCCGGAGTGGATTGTTGCCTTAAGTTGCCTGAGGAATCAGGCGGCAGGTCGGCGGAAGGGATAGTACTGTACTCCGGACTTAAGGATAGAGCATGATAAATACCTAATATGCAACGGGAGAGAGAGTGTGTTTATAAGGACAGGCACAGTGCCTTGTCTCTCGAATCCAGACCATTCATCTCCATCTTCTCTCTCAGCCTCATCTATACATCAACCTTGCAGCCTGCCTCGGATCTGAACTACTCAGCATTGCAGAAAAGGCGGTGATATCACGGTTCGGTATGTGGCTCGCTCGTCTAGCCGATTCTCCCATTCTCCCCTAATTTTGACCACGTTGTCTCGTCGAACTATGAGTGATTCTCCTTGGTAGGTCTACGGAATGCAATAATAGCAGCAGGAAGAAAAGAAAGTGAGTGAAAGATACGATGAAGAGACCGGTTGAGGATTGTCCCATCACTGCTACCTAGTACCTACTGTTTGCCTTGCCGCCTACTATGAAAGATTAAGTAAACCCGGCTGCTGAGACATCGTCATTATGCATCTCTAGCACCAAAAGTCCAGTGAAACATACACTAGAATGGAACGAAGAGAACAAACATTGATTAAGTAGCAAGCAAGGAAATTGGCGCCTGCCTGCGACCGTAAAAGATCTCTGTAATTGCTACTACAGTGACTACGGAGTAGGGTGTCCAGTGTCCATCGAACCACACACACTCCCACACTCCCACACTCACTTGATTCATCTGCGAACCCAGTCGAAAGACCAAAAAAAAAGAGAAGATCATCTTAATAAGAAAGAGCTGGTGCAGTGTCCCGCATGGCCGTTATTATTGGGTTTTGGCAACTCCGCCACTAGCTTCAAATCCAACTGCCTGTGGACTGCCTGTGGACTGCCTCCAAGTCGGCTCCAGCCCAGACGGATCAGCTTCTGTTTCTGCTTCTTCCTCTTCCTCCTCTCACTTCCCGGTCAATCTTTATTCATTCATTCTTCACCCCCAGTTGTGGACTGGCTCGCCCGATTTCCGACCTCCCCCCCAATTTCTTCAATTTCCTTTATTCACTGCTCACTTCCCCCATTCTCCCCTGCCTTACCCCAACGGGTTATCTCCTTCCCTTATAATCGCCCGCGCGAACGAGTGACCCGCTATCTCAGTGCGTGGATCGCACTTTTTACCTCACATGGACAACGTAAGTTCTGGTCTCAAATCACCCTCGCCTCACAACCACTTTTCGCGGAGGACTTGGCCACCGTTCCATCCCATCTCTCCCCCGCAAAACCACTGGTACTGATCCTGTACCTTTTCCCCGACGTCTCCAGGCCGCCGACGGTGATATGCTCGTCGACGAATATGAGCAGTATCACCAAGATCGAACCGACGATGTCGTCGTCTCCCGCTCCGGATCGGACGAACCGGAGTCGGAGCCCTCCGCAGATGACCGTAAGGCCCATATAACACCTTCCCATCGTTGTTGTGCGCATCCTGCCGTCTTGCGATGGACCTGGCCCGACTTCCCAAAAGTCCCCGCCGTGGGACGGCTCGCCGCCGCACAACTGCAGCCCTCCCCTCCACGTCCGAGAAACTGATCCTTTCTCCGCACCAGATGCAGCAATGATGGCTCGGATTTTCCCGAAAGATCCGGATCTGGAAACCGAAGATGAGACCTATCACACATGGCATATCCAGGATTGGCGGAAGTTGAAGAAGAAGGAGCACGGCCCGGTCTTCCAGTGCGCGGGCTTCCCTTGGTGGGTGCCCCGACGGATCCCTTGGTTGGAATATCACCGCCCTCGAGAGCGACTCTGACTTGCTGTTGTCCACAGGCGAATCCTGTTCTTCCCCTACGGAAACCATGTGGAGCATGCCTCCTTTTACCTGGAGCATGCTTGGGACGGCGAACCGCCGGCCAACTGGTACGCCTGTGTGCAGTTTGCCCTCGTCCTGTCGAATGTGAACGATCCCTCCATTTACGTTCATCACGGTACGCCGCTTCTGCCTCCTCAACGAGCTCGCTCTCTCGGACTAATTGGGATATAGTCGCGACCCATCGATTCCATGCGGAGGAGGGAGATTGGGGCTTCACCAGATTCTGCGAACTGCACCGGCTGTTCAGCCGACCGTGGGAAGGCCGTGGCGTGCCCCTCGT